TTGGAACGTGAACGCGAACGAGATTTGCGCTCTTTCTCAGCTCGCCTACGGGTAGGGCGTACAGTTTCGCGGCTTCGCGCTGCTTCAGCTCGCGATTTTTGTCTAAAATAAGGAGCACAAACCTCAAGGAAGGAAAATAAACTTATCTATTAACTCACTTCTCCTGCTCGCGAGCTTTTTGGCGTTCTGCTTCTTTAGCAGCTCGCTCTTCCCGTTCTTTCTCTTTAGCCTTTTCAGCTTGTCGTTGTCGTTCTTTTTCTCGTTCACGTTCTCTTTCCCTTTCCTTCTCCCTTTCTCTTTCTCTGTCCCTCTCGCGTTCTCGCTCCTTTTCAGCTTCGCGTTTCCTAGCTTCTGCTTCGGCTTGCCGGTGGGAAGATGATTCGTGAGCTCGGCTCTCTGAAGACAAGCGCAGTTATGGAATTGAAGCAGTGGGCGACAATCAAGCAAACCTTTCCTATCTTCTTTTTTTGATGTAGAAACTTCGGCTTCTTTCCTCCGTTCCTTTTCTTTTGCAGGCTCTTTTTGGACTTCCTGTAATGTGAAATAAATATTTTCGCTGTATTACCACTATCACAGAAGAACCTCACAATTACCTTGCTCGATTTTTCCGAGCCGGAGTGACTATCTGGCTTGCTGCCTGCTGACTGGAGTCTTTCAAACAAATCGAACAGCCTGCAAGAAGAGTAAAAATAGCGACGCCACAAAATGGACATGATCTCCGATAAATAAACAGAAAAAGTACCCAAGAAAAAGAAAGAAGAACACTCACCAATCCACGAATTTACTCGTGCATTTCCCCAAAAACAAATTTAGATCATCTTTCATTTGATTTTTCTCCTTCTTGTTCGCTATCATGACCATTATGTATTCGGGAAGCTCATCGTCTACATAAACACCCAATTCTTCCAGCTTCGCTTTTATTGCAGCCTAGAAAAACAACGGGGAAGGTGAAATTCCGAGGAAAATGACAGCATAATTCTTACCTTTAACTTTTTCGAGACATCTAGGTTTTGTCCCGCAGCCATGATACCCCTGAAACTTGAACAGGAATATTTGAGATAAAATTCACTTATAGCTACGAATGTATGATTTCGCCAAAGGAACGCGATTCAGACGAAGCAGAAATTATAAAGGAAAGAGAATTAGCAAAAGCGAAAAACTTGCGATGATTGAATTTTTTAGCGTAAAAATGATAATCTATAACTCGGAATGATTGTTTCATAGACTTATCTAGCACTATCAAAAACGAAGCAATGCTGAAACGATGGGACAGAACTAGTGAGTAAAATGATTTCAACTGCTCAGACAATTCACCGGAATTTTCGCAGGACAAGCCAAATTTTCAGAAGTTCCTCAGGACTTTGTTTACTATTGGAAAAGTGGAAACGTTGA